GACACAGACTGGGCTATCCAGCACATTTTCTTAAGTTATGTGTTGAGAGCATAGAAATGTTGTAGAACAAGTAATTTGATAATTTGATTGCTTTTTAAGCCTTCATAGATTCTCAGCTTTTATATCTTTAGTTAGTGCAGCCCTGCTGTAATGTACTAGTTACCTGTACTTTTCTTTGGGAAGATTACCTGATGCCATGTTATTCATGACACAAGATGTTAATAGAGAAGGGAATAGACTCTGATAGCTCTTGACTGTGAGTTTTATGTATTAAATTTCATAACTTTGATTGGTATTTCCCCATTGTGTCACCCCCCAGCTTCTGGGTATTTTTCTGTGCATGGTGAGAGAAGAGCAGAGCTGAGCAGGATGATTGGAGTTTATAGCTTATCTACCTGGAGGGGTTGGCATTTTCCTGCTCTGTGGCATTTACCTCGGATGTAACCCACAACTGCAAATTTATCTAATACAGCATCTGAATTATTCCAGATTCTTGTTATTTTATGGTCTTCTGTGTTCTTGCACACAAGTATTAAAGAGCAGAACTGGGTTTTTTTCCTACACGTGTAGCTTAGCTTTGTGGTAGTAATGATTTTTAGTTTTGTGTTACCACCTGCAAAATATTACTACTGCAGTTAGTACTTGCATATTTTATTTTTAAAATTAATGTATTTTCTTTATAGGTTTTGTCCTTTTCACAAGTAACTGCTGTATTTGAAGTAAATGTGAGAAATCATACTTTTGTTCTGACTCTTGGTCATTCTTACTAGTGAAGTCACCTGTGAGGAGGTTAATATTGCAGTTGTTATTAAAGTTTCAGTAATTTAATTTAGCTGGAAAAACAATTTTGAAGCCAGACTAATGGTATTTCCATCACTTTAGACAACTAAGAGGTCTGAGAGTAAAATGTTGGGTATTTTAAGAGTTGTAAAAGCATCTTTATGTGTGGGCTCTAGGTGGCAGAATTGTCTCACGTTCCTCGAGTTCACAGCAGTGAGACTCGAACAGCAAAGTGCAAAAGTAGAGGTGTGCCAGGCGAAGAGCAACTGGTGTCCTCATCAGTGCTCCAGCTGGAGCAGGAGGTTGGCTTTGGAGGGGCTGTGCACCAATGTCACAGTGCAGCCTGAGTGCCCAAACTCCACTTTGTGCAGGACGACTTCCTTAGTAAAACTGGGCACGTTCTTTTATTGCTGCCAGGCACTACTGCAAGCATTTTGTATGTGGCACTTAAAGGAAAGATTGGGCAGATTTTAAAGATTGTATTTACACTGAGTAATAATATATCTTGTTTTGTCTTTATGTGCCTTGAATTTGACCAAAAAAGGTGTAGAATAAAGCATTATGTTTCCTGAAGGAATACTTAGGTCAGCTATAAAGTAATTCCTTAAATACTGCTCTAACATAGCTGTTAAAAAATTATGTATTTCCATATGCTGCATTCATAGAAGAAATAAACTAGAATTATGTATTGAGGGGATTAGAATTTTTGAGCTTTTATTTTTGAGCCTGTATTTTCAGGCTGTTACAGTGTTGCTGCTGTTTCACACTTCTGAATTAACATTTCAAATTACATGTTTCAGTTGTCTTTCATATAATATTCTTGCTATAAAAATTTAGTGAAGATAACATAGAACAAGTGAAAGTTCCACATTTTACTGAACACATAGTCCACACATATACTGGGAGCATAGTCCACAGCTATACAGAGAGCAAATACCACTCACAGCTATGTTTTCAGTTCAGCGTTAGTAATTCACAGTTAACTTAATGAGTGGAACACAAAGAAATGCCCAGATTAACTTTTTGTGTAAGGAGCATCTGATTTTTATTTTTTCCCTGAACAGTTAGTAACAAGTTCAATTTTTATCAACCTTTTTTATAGGTTCCCTAATCTGAAGCTTGACAGGGTTATCATGTGCTGTTAGTTGTTTAGCAATATAAATTCCAGTAGTGTAATGTGAATTTCTTACACTGCCATTGTCCTGGAAGCAGGATTCCAAACACCTGTTTGTTCAGGTGGTTAATCAGTACTCTCCTGTGTGGCAGTGTGCCTGTTGTGTGCCCCAGCATGGCTTGTCCAGCTCCAAGGTGTGCAGAGAGCAGTTTGAGGGGTACCGGGAGTCCCTGCAGTTGGGAATTATAAGAGCAGGGAGGAGAGAAAATCAACTTCAAACTTGGTGAACAGTTTGCAAATTGGAGATAGATATTCTGAAGGCATAGGAGAGTGATGCCTTAAATGATTTTTTACTTTTTGATTTGAATTTAAGATTTAAATATGTGCTTTAATTTTAGATGTGCAAAATATTTCTTTTAAATATACAGTTTATCACTTCATGTTCCTTATGAAGTGTTTTAATTTCTGCTATACTTTTATGAGGCCATCTCAGTGCTGTTTTCATTTTTCTTGTCATGCCATATATAGGAGTTACTGAGGATGTGTGATAGGAATATTGCCTTTCAGCACAGCATCGTGCCTTTCAGTCTGCCAGTGGCTGTGAAGGATTTAGCAGTATGTCTCAGCATATCAAGCAAATGTGTAAAGAAATGTAGTTGGGGCTCAATTCTTCCTTCTCCAGCCCTGCTCTAAGTCTGGACAATGTTTACAGCATTCTGCAGATCTTGATTTTCCTGGGATGCATGTCCAGGAAATCCTTTTTGTCAGTTCAAGAGTTTTTTTGAAATTATATGGTTTTTTTTCTTAGGCGCCTGTTTTTCTGCAGTGAAGCACTAGAATGTAAATCTGATTAAAAACTGGTTACAACTTAACTATAGGCAACTTTTGAAGCACCGTAAGCCATATTGTGCAACAGGGTGTATACATATAGTTTTACATGTTAGATTTAAGGTTTTATTTTTGTCAGATGATTGAGATGAAGTATGCTTTTCTTCAATTTTTTTTCCCTCAAGAATTGTTTTTAGTGAAGCTGAAACCAATGTTTATCCTTTATGATCACTATTAAAAAAATATTTATTTATTTTTGCTAGCCTGATGAAACTGCTGTAATGACTAGAAGTCTTTGTTAATGAGAGTTAGGGTTATGGTGGGCTACAGAAATTAAAGACTGCAATTTTTTAGAATAAACTGTGATATATTGTGATGGAAGTATTTTTATTACAAAAGAAATTTAGTTAGTGATGTGACTTCATTAAGCCTTTCTTATGAGAGCAGTCTGATCTGGCTGGTCCTGGGATTTCTCCACAAACATTCTGGTGTTAAATTGCCACCAGTGATAGTAACTTGAGTTGATGTGTGTTAGTCACTGTATTGGCAAGGGATAGAGCATCTGTGCAGAGAAACAAATATTTTGATGTTTGGGTTTTTTATCCTCTTCTGCTCTGTCCCTCAAATCATAAGTTTTTGGTAGTAAAAGTGTTGCACTTGGTTTAACTAAGTTTAACTAAATCTAGGGCAGAAGCTAATGGATATTCATATTCTGATCTCTGAAGGGATGAACAATGAAAGCTTAGCAGTCTTCAACTCTGCAGGGCTTTACAAATCAGCAGGTACATGCAGTGCTCTTGCTGCTCAATCATTTTTCTGTCACAGTAATATAATCCCATATCCCTGACCAAGCCAGTGACCAGCAAGAAGATGATGTTGGTTTGAGTGCTTGTTAAAACACTGCTGGCTTTCTCCCCTTCCAAACAGTCATTAGTCGTGGCCCTGGGGGACTTACATTTTCATGCTGTGGAAAAAAGATATCAGCAAGAACACTTCTGATTCCATGCTTATTAGTGGCTTGTTTTCAGCAGATAGGAGAAACAGCCTTGTGGGGTTTTTACCTGAGTTTGGTCCAGGATGTGCAATTTAAGGCTTTTCAAGTCCCATGTGTTTGGAGGCCTTGGAAAAGTTAATAATTTGAAATTACAACTCCCTTTAAGACTATATTAACTGTAGGTTTTATGAGTAAAATGTGGATGTGAATGTTGGTTGCAACTTCCTTATGACTGGGAGATTTGGATTCTGTAGGGACAGTCGCTCTTAAAACATTGCTCCTCTTGTTTATTAGCTCCTCCTTGTGAGTTTCAGAAGATGGAGTAGCCTTGTTTCCTAGAGACAGTGTGTGATAAAGCGCAGCAATGACAAGAATTTTGGTTGATATGATGCCCAGGCCACAGTTAGGGAGAAATCTGAATTTGCAGTGCAAGCTTGGAGTTTGGACTTTGAGTATCCTTTTATAATTGATACGTGCATGGCTTGCAGCTCTTGAAAGTCTTTCCCCCTGGGATTTTTCTGACTGAAAAGAACTTTAAATACAGTTTTATGTGAGTTCTTTCAGAGTTTGTCAGAAGAACTGGGTTGGCTCAGGGGATGGCTTTGCCTTCGTTAGAGGTTTCTGGTGGTTTTCCGGTTCCTGCCCTTGGTGGCTTGCAGTGGAATGACAGGATGTTCACTGAGGTCAAGTGAGCAGGCTTAGGGAGGCTTTGCAGTACAACTCTGATTTCTACAAAATTCACCCCAGAAGTCTTTGTTTTGTAATTCATGTGTTTGTTTCATAATGCCAGTAGTGTTAACGCCACTTTAGTGTCAATATACAATACTCTGGAACAGTGTTAGCATTCTGTGAGTACTTTATATTATTCTGAACCAGTTAAAAAAAAAAAAAAGCCATTTTCCCTAATTGATAAAAAGGTTTCTTTTACTGGTGAACCGTTTCTGAAAATTGACATTAGTAGGAGACATTGTGTACAATTAACTCTGTGCCTTGCAGGTTACAAGTGCTTGAGAGGAGTTTGGTTTACCTTGAGATGTAATGAAGCCAGTTAGATTTAGCAGGTGTGGGCCTTAAAGAGTAGGGGGGGTAGCAATGATGCCTTAAAACCCGGTTAATGTTTGGATCCTGTCACAGAAAGGGGTCAGAAATCAACTATTTAGAAAATTGGTACACCAGTTTGGGTTTTTGGTGAAATGTAAGTTAACCAAGTGGCGTCTTCATGTGGACAGTTAAGTGAAATGCAGATGGTCAGTAAGGTTCACAGGTACCTGATATCTTTTTCAGAACTTTGCCAAGAATATTTTTGCAATTCTTCAATCAGTTAAAGCCAGAGAAGAAGGCAGAGCACCTGAGCAAAGACCTGCACCAAACACAGCACCAACGGTAAGGGCAGTGTGTGGCTGGACATGAGGGCTGGGACATGAGAGTGCAGTCTCTTCTCACTATTACATACACAGTTTGTTTTGGTTTACTTCCAAAAAATGCATATTTTTCAAGCATAACTTCACAGCTATTCTTTGACTTAAGTTGCATTTATTGGTATTTAAAGAGTTGAATATATTAGTTTAATTAGTTCAATATGCTCTTGTTACTGAGAGATGAATCTGCTAGTGCCAGCTTCTGCATCTATCAAGCATTAGCCACATGCTGCATCTATTTGCAAAAAGTGTATTCCATGAGAGGGCTGCCATTTCAAATGAAATGTTTTGCTGCTTTTCTGACAGATAGGGTAGCAAATGTTTAAGAATCTGGAGCATGACTCATGAGTGGGAACAGCTCGAACCAGCTTTCCTTTGCCTGTGATAAATCAGGACAGACTTAGAGCTGTATTGTTTACTTCTCTCCAGGTATTAGACAGGATTTGTTTAGAAGTGTGGTGTTTACTATTGTGTTCTGTTAAACCTAATGTATCTCTGAGCATGGTGGTAGTCTGCTCTAAAAGCTCTTTAATTGGACTCTGTGTTTTGTTTTTGCTGCTACTGCATTTAACAAAGAACTAAATTTAAATAGCGAGATGAATTCCAACATGTAAATATTTGCTTTGTGATGAATTTCTTAAATTGTGCATGGCATTATTCAAATGTCCCACTCAGAATAAATGAGAATACATAACTAAGCCATCCACAAAAAGGATTGAATTGATATTGAGTGTGCCTCTAGATTGGTGCTTTTTAAAAACTTTTTTCCCAGAATGCCTTTTTTCCCCTCAAAATTTGTTTTTATTTATTTTGTTTAGCAAAGTTTTATCTTAATCAGGCTGAGAAGAGAAATTTGGTGTGGCTGAAGCCTTAATAATGAATTGTCAGTTAATGATTTTTTTCCTCACTAATTCTTTAAGTATAACAAAAACTCAGTAGAGATTTTAATAATGTAGTTTGTTACTGTTTGTTATTTCAGTTTTGCCTCAGGTTATTCTTTGCATTCAGTACTAAACTGTTTCTGTAAGACTGTAAGTGGATATTGAATGGAAACATCAGAAGTTTTCAAATGCAGTGCAACTCCTACGGAAAGGAACTCGTTTTATACTCTTGAATAGTTCTAAGTAACTCTTCATGAAATTCAAGAACCATCAAATACCTTTTAGTGTGTTTTACAAATGTTGTTTAACCTGTTTTAGGATCCCACTTTACGAAATAAGCAACCTATTCCAGCTGCCTACAACAGATATGATCAGGAAAGATTTAAAGGCAAAGAGGGTAAGTTGATTGCAATGCTTTTTTTCAAAATGAAAAAAAAAAAAATTGAGACCCAAAACTGCCCAGTCACCAAGTTCATGTTTAGGGGATTTCCCCTGCTATTATTTCACAAATCTATGAAAAGACAAAAAAAGACCTGTAACTATGCCTAAAGACAGCTTTCCAAGTAATAAAATCCAGAAGTATTATTTTGTAGAAATAGTTTCTACCTCTCAGGAAGCAAACTGAAAGCTTGAAACCAGAACTTCTTGGGGAGGAAAAAAAATTGTTTGGGGAGGGTGTTATGCAATTAATAAAAACCACAAGTGCTAAGAAAACTGTCAGGTGCATAACATGTAATAGATTCTCTCTCCTCAAACAATCACAGTTGTTCTAAAAGTTGCCTCCAGTAATTGCAAGTAAATATTATCTAGTTGTGTCTATTTAAATTAAAAAACAAACTGGCAACAGAAGTGCAAAACACAAGTACCCTCCTGGAGGGGAGATGGAAACAATCTACAATATTGAACAAGTCTCACCAGTTTTAAAAGATGGTGAACATTGAACTTGAGTGATGATTTGTCTTTCTAATGCAATTTTTCTCCTGTCCCCATTGCTTTTTTTATCTTGTTTTGTAGTACAAGTTCAGTTACTTCACTTGCATGGCTTGCTGTGGTTTTATTTTGCAATCTTTGTTTGTTGTGCTTGGATGGTTTTGTGCTTCTTGCAGAAGGTCATGCAAATCTTACATTACTGATTTGTCATTTTTGAATTGTGTGATTCTGAGAATGTGGTGTTGGGGTTTCACTTGGTGCTGAAATGGGATTGACTGGACTGCAACAATTTTTTCAGTTGAAAGATTCTTTTGTGATGAGCTCATATTCTACCTGCCTAAAAAAATAACTCGGTGTCACACTCCATTCTAGAGAGTGTTTTTCTGCCCTAACTTGCTGGTTACTTATATTTGGTGTAGTCACACAAAGTTAATTTTGTATTTCAGGTTTCTAGGGATATTTAAAGAAATACATAGGTTAAGAATACAGTGTTAGCTAAGTGTAGGCTAGCACTGGAAATAAAAATGAGGTGTTGGAAAGAAGGTATTTTAAACATGAGATTGACTTATGAGAGGTATTGGTACCTCACTTATGGAAGTTACATAGAATTAGTAATTAACATCTGAATTTCTTGGGAAAGGACCTAGAGATATTTGAGATCTTCTTTGGCTTCAAATAAACTTGAGAAAATAGCAAAGATCTCATTTACTTCTAGGGTGCTCTATTGTAAAACTATTACCTTTTAAGTTTAATCTAACTGGAACTCTTGAGTATAGGTAGTTTTCCTGTCAGAATTAGGCATTAATGCACAGATTGTCATTTGTTTGAAACTGAATGATGCACATCACTTGCAGCTCTGTCACAAGTGAACCCATTCCTTATGGGATTTTTAATTTACTTGTTCTCAAAATGAAGCTTTGGCTCCCAAATATTCAGTGTAGAAGTGAGACTACAAGCAGACAAGTCATCACTAAAAATCAAATAAGAGGTTTCTTTTTCATTTAACTAATTTTTTACAATAAGTTGAGTAAGAACTTGGATTCCACTTGTTTATGGAAAAGGTTGCAATATTGGGACTTTAGGGAAAGAATTCTGAAGGAAAAGAAAGATAATTAAGTTCAAAGGGTAAAAACTTGCGGTCTTTATGCCGTTGTATCCGTATTTATTTAGTGATGGTGGATAACACTGATGATAAAGCTGAATCCTAGAGATTTCTGCCTTTCTGAAGGGTTCCCACACCTTTCCCTCTCTGACTGCCTGTGCTTGGCAGGATGGTGTGGTGCTTGTAACAGTGGGCACAGAGGTGGGCTTGGCTAAAGAGTGACACAAGGCCCAAGGACAATGTCTGTAGCCTTTTTCTTTGTGTCTCACCTGTTTGCTCTTTCCTCAGAGGTATTGAAATCCTAGGAAGAGTTCACTAGTTCTCTTCTGCTTGGAGCAGGATTGTGGCACATTGCCTAGATTCAGTTTTGTATGATACTACAGTATTTCAAGTTTAGGCAGCAAAGAGGTGAACTGTTTTTCTTGAAAAATTTGTGGGCTTTAATAGAATTTTTCCATTAGCTGTCTTGTCCTTAGCATAAGAAATTCAAAGCTTGTAGAGCTAAGAGTAAATTTAGGAATTTTAACATGCATTAAGTAAACTGTTGAGTTGCAGCCAAGTTTCTCTGCTTCTTGTGGTGGATCATTATTTCTGATGCAATGTATCAGGATGCCTCTCTGGTAGACTAAGTTAAAATTTTCCTGCCAGATGGGACAGGCTTTGCTGCTAGAGTGGTTTAACAGTCAGTGTGAGGGGGTGGTGATTGTGCTGTTCTTGAAGAGCAAACAGAGTTCCAGGTGCATTCAGTGGAACTGCTCAGCAGCCAAGGAACAGGGGACAGGGCTTGGTCACCTTTTGTCCAGGGGGGTCCTGTCCCTGCAGCTTTGGTCAGGCAGGACAGAGAAACCTTTCCTTTGATATCCTTCGAGTTCTGTGATGCATTAGGATGTTGTTTGCGGTAGGAATTGCACATCCTGGACATTTCCACATGAAAAGTGGAAGAACACATTGCCTGGCAGTGCCCACATCCTGCCCAGCTGCTCAGATGTTTTGGAGGTGAGGAGGTGAACTGCTTGCACTCAGTTTGGGTGCTGCTGCTTTGGTTTCTTCTGTGCTGGCAGTTAGTGATGGTTCTCTTCAACTGCACAGAGCTGCATCCTGTGCTCAACTTCCTCTTTTTACCTTGCTAGTCCTCTTCCTTTCCTTTGTATTACTTGCTTGAGTGTGTTTTTTATAGTTTATTACTGAGTATTTTGCAACTGGGGAAATTTTTCCAGACTGCAGTTGGTCATGCTTTCTTGAGCAACATAATTTTAAAATCTTGTTCCGGTTTTAAAAATCCTATGCTCAGATGGCATTTGATGCTTTAGGAGCTTATTTTGTGTCCTCTCCTCTGTGCCCTAATGTTTGATATTTAAATATACATTGTTGATATATATGTTTTGGTGCTATTCTGCTTTTAGGTAGGTAGATACAACTAGATAATATTCAGATGCTCTTCTGTCTTTTTCCCCGTTTTCTTGGGTAGCTTTACCTCAGAAGATTTTTTTCACATGTGTTTTGCTCTGTTATTTCCAAGTGTGCAAGAGTGCTGGGATGGCAGTCTTGCAGATGTAACATTTTTGTGACCCACATCTCTCAGTATGGATGGCAAAGTCAAATTTCCCTGTGCTGCTCCAAGGATAGACCTTTAAAGCTTTTTCCAGGAGTGTTCCTGTTGCATTACTTCCCCCCCCCCCCCAACAAAATAAAAAACCCCCAAAACCTCCAGCAATATTCAGTCCTATTTAGGGTAAATCACAGTCTTGCTGTGTGGTTTCAGCCCATAATGGTGAAAAGAATATTCCTGACTGTGTTCAAATGTTTCCTTCAGGCAAGTTTGCTGTTGACTTCATGCTATTGTTATCTTATATTTTATTTATAATTTTACTGGACGTTCAGACACAGCTGCCATCTGCCAGAAGTTTGTCAGTCCTCAGTCCTAAGTGCTAAGCCCAGGAAACAGAGGACTGTGAAATTATCATATTTGAGGTGACTGGACCAGAACATTTTGTTTCTCTCTCATCTACATTGTTAAAAAAGTTTCTTTATAAGGCATTTCTCATTATAAGTTATTTTGTCTTAAATTGGGTGATATCCTTTTACACAAGGAGAGTAGAATTGCTAGCAGGAGATAAAAGGTTCTGAAGTTTTACTGTCCGACTTAGTTTGACTGGTTAAACTTTCATTTATTGCATTCCCTTTAAGATTCATATGATGTTTTTTTTCCCCCCCTAACAGACAGTACATGCAAGAGATGCACATTTGGAAAAAGAATGTGGTCTATTTGTATTTTCTGGCTTGGTGTGACTAGCTAGTTTAAAAACTTTCAGCACTGCACATTCACTTCTGTGCTGGAAAATACACATAAATTGCTTTAACAATACACATAAATTGCTGTGAGAAACTTAAGATATTGGTGGTAATTACTGGTAAGATTATTACAGAGCTGTAATTTATGAAATGTACAGAGAATTTGTAAAGTAATCAGTGTAACTTGGAAATTTAGGTGTGAAACTTACTTGTTAGGAGAGAGTACTGTAAAGGAGTGCTCAGTAAACTCATGCAGAGTGACATTTGGTGTCAGGGATTAAATTACTGGGGCTGTGAAGTGGGGTAGTGAATCACTTCCAGGCTGTATGCAGAGTGTTGCTATCTGGGGCTTGAAGAGTATACAGCTGAAAGTAGAAGTGGTTATTCAGTCTTATTCATCCACAATTCAAACCAAGGCTTTAACTTGAGCTCTTCAGTGTCTGAGATGTGCTGCTTTGTTCTGTTTTTATTTCCCTTGACTTCCTTCCAGAAATTCAGGTCTTTTTACAGAAATCGAGTCTTTTTTCAAGCTTTATTCTTTTGGTAATGTATCAGAGCTCATTTGTAGCTGGATTGGATAACTGGAGCTGCAGAAGGTGCAGAATCAAAGTGCAGGGTGACCTAGATGGATGTGGAGCAATGGCTTTAAGCAAATGCAAGGCACCCTGAGCATTAATATTATATGCAAGGAAACAGAACATGCACCCAAATGCTGATGGAGAATATCATCAGTCCAAAAAGCTGATGCATTAGGATGCCTATATTCATTTCCAGGTCTAATTCTTTTAAATAAGAAAAGGCACTCAGCCTGGTGCATGGGGATGCTAGAAAGGTAACTTGTGATAAACTACACTGGAAATGTTTATGGTTCCTTTACCAGTCTTGGGGTCATGGAACTGAGGAACTATGACCGTAATACATGCAGTGACTGAAGGAAAAAAACAAACCATGATGATAGTTTGTTTCTGAAGCATCAGAGTTGTTTATTCAGTTCTAGTTATTATGTTTACATCTCAAGATGTAGTTTTAAGGCATGTGTTGATGTCCGTGTTTTTAACAATGCATATATTTCTAAAATTGATTCTATTTAGCAAACAAAAGGTTGCAGTACAGTTTTTCCTGACAAAATTATTGTTGGGCTTTGATTGCTTTCTTTAGTCCTTAGTGTTAGATCTGTGATTGAAGCATTTAATATTAACTGGTCTATGCCTAAAGGAAATGTGAGTCACAACTTGGGAGTAATTATATTGAAAATTCCCAGTGTATACAAGACCCTCAGTAAGTTTTTAATAGTTGTTCTGAATCTAATTCCAAGCCTAAAAACAATAGTCTGAAGTCATACCATCATGGTGCCTTTATTTATGAGGCTCTTTTTTCTTAAATACCCTTTTCTTAGTCAATGGTTTATAATTTTAACTGCTTCTATTACCACAGTGAAGCTGGGATTTGGAAACAGGAGTTATAAACTAATTCTTGGCCAAGTATTACCAGGTCAGCTCACTGCTGGTGCATGACTCAGCAGCACAGGTTGGAGCTGCTTTGGGAGGCAGAGGAGAAGCTTTTGTGTTCCTGGAGGGTGTGGCACAGCGTTTGTGCTGATCAGTGCTGGGGACACGGCCCGGGGTCTCTCTCTCTTCTGCTCCTCTTCACCATGGCCTGTGGTTACTCTGGTATGCCAGGTCTGCTGCTGAGCAGCTGTAGCAGGGTCAGAGCCTGCTCTTGGGGAACAGCCTGCTCCTTGAATATCTTTTACAGCATTAACCTGGCTGTGGCACCCTCAGCCATTTTTGAAGTAGGAATGAAGCTGGAAGTGTGGAGTCCCTGACCTGGAAACATTTGTTTTGTTTGCCCAAGCTGTGCACAGTGAGTGGAGCTGAGGGTGCTGCTGGATGTGCCCAAACTACTGAGACCTAAAAAAATGGTACAGACATGCAAGGGCAGGGCTGGTGCTTCTGGCAGTGTTTATTTCTGTAAGAGAAGTGATTGGCTGACAGGTACAATACCACATGGTGTGTGTGAGAGCATTGAATCAATAAAGCTGTGTTCTGACAAATGTGTCACTGCTGTTCCTGCTTCAGGGGGATTCCTATCCCCCCTGAAGGAACTGAACTCTCCTTCTCCACCTGCTGGGGGGTTTGAGGCAGGGGAGCTGGTGGGCAGGTTGGGATGTGGTTTCTCCTATGGTCCCACCTTACTGCAGGCAGCAGAGATGGGCCCTGCAGTAGCTCTGGTAGAGGCTGCAGTGGCTGTTTGCAGGAATGGGGTGGGTACCCACACTGACCATAAAACATGTCTTATATTTGAATTAGTGCACAAAGCTACTATACCATTGTTTGCTAATTATCAGAACTGTTTTATTTGCTACCTGAGTAGGTTATGAATAGTACTGGGGCCCCTGTGTAGCTGCTGGGAACATTGATCAGGCAGGAAACTGGGGTTTGCTGGAGGCAACAAGTGGCTCTTCATCCAAGTTAGTTCTGCTAGAAAGAAGGGTCAGGACAAGGCTGGGAGCAGGAAGCTCATGAGTGCCAGAGCTGTGGTTTGTGGCTCCTGTGGCTCATTAAATGAACCAGGACAGATTTTATGAGAGACTTGAGAAGACTTTTGCAAAAGATGAAACCAGTGGCAGTTGAGCAGAGATTGGTTCCCTGCCAGGTGCCTCTCTCCCCTTTGATTTACTTTCTAACTCTGCTGCTGGCTCTGTGGGCTTTTGTTCCCTTTGCAATGCTGATGGAGACAGGGAACAAACATGGCAAAATAATTACAAAGTCAGGGTTTGTGCTGAGAGGAAAGAAGCCACAGCAGGCCAGGCACAACAGAGCATGGTGCTGTGCTGCTCTTGCTATGGATGTGTGTATTCTTTGCAAAGAATATCTAACTGAAATAGTTGGGAATGCTCTGTGTTGCAGGCATGAGGAACCCATAATAGGTCAGTCTGGAAAGGATAAAGGTTCTTCTGGTGGTGCTGTTCTAAAATTCACAAACAACTGTCAGCCTAGATTAGACACCTCTGATTTACATCACTCCAAGTCAGCAAAAACATCCCTTCAATTTAGGGAGTTCTACCAAGTATTCCACAAGGCTCCAGGCACCACCTGAAATATTAACATGCTCCCTGCCCTGCAGCAGTGACCTATATAGTCACAGAACAACCTGTTCTCCATGGAAGTGTTTGTGCAGCCACATCTTGCCCATTCAAGTCCAGTGGTGTGACCTCTGAGCTAAGATTCAAGGCATAGTTATAGCTTGGGCTTGAGGGGAAAGGGGGGAATGCCTATCAGTTTATGTAGGGAAGCAGTATCAATTTTTATAGGGAGGCTGGGCTGCTTTCTCTGGGTTTTTTTTGTGTGGGTTTTTTTGTTTGTTTTTTTTTTTTTTTTTTTTAAGTAGGAAGGACTGTATTGATGTGTATCTGTACCTGCATTTTACTTTCTCAGAATTATGTCTGTAGTTCAGAAATGTTAATCTGGCAGAAAGGCAGGGGATGGCCTTGGGAAGTGAAGCTGAAGAAGAGCTGGAACTGAGGGGAGTGTAAAACAAAACATGGTCAGTGACATGGGGCATCTTGGCTTGGTAGTGGGTGGCAGGTCTGGCATGGTTGCCGGGGAAAAGGTGCAAGCCCAAACTGTTCAGTAAGTAGACAGCTGTCTCTATGGTGAGAGGGGTATGATAAGTTCCAAACTCTGGAGTATCTTTTTATAGGCACTGGAGAGTTCTTAAATCTGGGAAACTTTTTGGCCTTGTTTCCTTTGAGTGCCTGATCATCTTCCTCAGCTAAGGAAGAAAGGATGAGCAAGCCACAGATGCTTCCCACATCATGTGAATTGCTTTCAAGGTTGTCTGGGTTTCAGTTTAAGTTAATTTACTCGTGATGAGAGCAAGAAGCTCTAATGGGTTTGAAAATTCAATGTTTTTCTTGCACTTTTTTTAGATTTGAGTAGGAGCCATGCTTTGGTCCTGCCTTATTTGTCTATCATGATTTCGGGCTGGTGCACAAAATGAAGGGGTTGTAAGAAATGACAAAAACATACCATTTCCAAGTAGCTGTTTCTGCACAGTATCAGTTACCTTTACCCAAGTCTAGTTGAAATAGCCCAGAATTGCTTAGATACAGATAAATGCTTGTTTATCATGGTTTGAGTGGTGATTATGATGCCTTTTAGGTAGAAATTGTTTGGATGGTTGTGTGATGGGATCAGGTGATGGTAGCTGCATGAGGCTAAGGAATTTACAAAAGGAAAAAGGTTTTCTTGTGAGTCTGTTGGCCCTGTTCAGGAGCTTACTTTGATCTTAAATCACTGAGAACAGGGGGACAGGGAAGAAAAGCAAATAGGCTGCTGACAGCAGGTTTAGTCATTGGGCAATTGCAGGCTTCTGGCATTTAGTATAAATTCAATCTGATTAAAAATAATTACAAAAACCCACCCCAAGAATGCCCCTTTTTATAACCTTTAGTCTGGCGTTGTGCATTTTATGTAGATTCTATCCTCTATCATCTGAGAATGACATTGTTACTCTTCAGCACTCCAGAAGTGAATTTACCAAGGTAAAATGGCCACACTTGTATAGTTGGCATGTAAATTGTTTTCTTAGGTATATTTTTCCATTAATATGGGTTAAATATGTTGCATTATAATGTATTCTGGGAATATGAATGAGGCTTCTCAATCTTGTAGTGAGGAGAATTTCTGAGGCCGCATGCAAGTTGTAACATTCTTGCAAAGATTTAGGTTTATAGCCTTTGTCTGAAGGGCTTCCAATTTCTCCATGCAACAGGAAAAGTACTATTTAGAAGCTACTCAGGTAGCAAATAAAACAGTTCTGATAAGTAGGAAAAAATGGCATAGTAGCTTTCTGTACTAATTCAAGTATAAGCCATGTTAAATAGTTAGAGAAAGCAGCAACATCAAACTGACCTCTGTCTAAAGAAAGATTTCCTAGAGACTACCCAGGTTTTGTACTGTGAACAGCACCTAAACCACCACCAGCAGCAAGATGTGTTTTTTGACAGAAGAACTCCAGACAGATTCAGTGTTATCCATTTAGACAAGACACTGCTGTGCTCACAAGGATTTACAGAAGTTTCTTTCTCTTGGCAGAAACGGAAGGCTTCAAGATTGACACCATGGGCACCTACCACGGCATGACTCTCAAGTCTGTGACGGTGAGTGGCAACTCTTGGCTCAAATATGATTTATGGACATGACTGTAAACATAGATACAATGTATGTTTGGAGATAGAGCCAGCTTCTCCTCCTTCCTAGGCTCTGGAAGGTCACTTAGACTGAGTAACAGTTGGTGAAAGTTCTTGTCTATGAAAAGCCAAAATGTGCTTTGTTTGGTCTGCATGTTCTAGAGGTCTGTGCCTCAGGGATTTGTTTGTCTGCAGTAAAAAGGTGTGCTGGGAAGGCTTCTTGAGGTGCAGCCTTTTTCTGTTATACTTAACATACCTAGGTTATTGCTGACTGTGGGTGTGTCTGGAAAGGACATAAGTGATCATAATCAAAAGTGATAAAACTGTAGTCAGAAAACTGAAGTAATGAACCCAGGTTTTGGAGTATTGCTCTGTTTCCCACTCTGCATTTAAAAAAAATGAACTTTTTGGGGGTGGAAGAGTTAGACCTCAGCACTACTGTTAAAGCTTTCTGGCCTGGTGAGATGGACTTCTGTTGTATGGCTGTACAGTGCTGTCAGTGAGAGTTGAAGCACTCACAGATGAGAAAGAGAGACCCTCAAACAGGGTCTTTTGTTTCTTGGGCCAGTGTTGGTCTGCTTTTGTGCAAGTGGGTTGAATGCTCTCAGATAAATGCTATTTTGATCTGCTGGTAAGTATGACAGATGCTAGAAAACTGCTGTAGTGTGCCCTCATGAAGGTTTTTGTGAGCTGCATACCTGTGGAAAAATGATGAATAGACAGCACTAAACACTCTCCTAAACCCATGCACTACTTCCAGTTTGCCCTTCTCATTTGAACATAAAATAGCATCTTAAATAGGAATTTCTGAAAAAAATTCAAAGGTTTTTTTTGTTTGATAAGTCCTTTCCCAAATGTTTCATTCCCATTTCATTTGTGACTTAGGATACTGTAAAAGAAAATGGAAGGGAATATTTAATCAAAAATCTACTTAGCAGTAAATAGTGTAATTTCTAGAGGAATTCAGAAATTGACTGGATGAAGAAAAAAGATAACCTGTTATGTCTGAAGATTTGTTCTTGATCTTTGCATTAATTTTGGGCTATTTTATGAGGAACCAAAGTGTTTATACTAAACCCAGGTTTCTATGGGATATCATACCTGCTTCAAGGGGTAGGGATTTGAAATGGGTTAATAAATACCTTCTGTTTAAATTGCTTTGTGGGGAGAAAAAAGAAAGAGGAAAAAGAAAAGTAAGATGATAGTAAAGCAGAAATGTTGAAATGTTTTAAGCTGATAAGTGTAAAATCTGTAAAAGTGAAGGGATGCACATTAACTCTAGAAATTATATGGGGTTTTTTTTAAGATCATAAAATAAGTGAGGTTTTTTGTTCTGGGAATCCTACCTCATGTATTGAGCATACTGCCTAGGGGTTTGAGGTTGTTAAACTGTCCTTGTTGGTTTCTTCCATTTAGGGAGAAAATATAATAGATATTAAATTACAAGTAAACCTTTTTTAACATAAACCAGAATTTTTTGAAATAACTGTTTAAGAGTGCATGACTGCACATAAAGCATCATCTGGTGTCATGAGAAATATTAAAACTCCATCTGTTACTCGGCTTTTGTCTACGAAAGAACTGGTGAGGGATTTTTGGAGCCTTATTTTCCAGACTATTAAAAAGGTGCCCTCAATTATTAGCTCATTCATAAATTGCAGTGACATCCTGGCTTTGTGTTCCAGATGGGGGAGAAATAAATCTATTAAATATGTTCATCTGTTTTGTCTAAACTTTGTCATAGTGATGGACCACTCAGTTCAAACCTTTAATGTCAGATCATATTTTTGTGGAGAATAGTTAATCTCCTGTCATGAAACTATGGAACTATGAAACTTGGCGAGTTTCGTGTTTTGCTTTTACTCAAGGATTTTTTTGTGGTTAGTTTATATTTTTTATGCTAGACAAAATTAGGGAGGAAATGGGAAAGTAATTGCTTCCCCTAGGTGTTTAATGGGAAAGTACATTATACTATTGGCTAAAACACAGGAATATGGAGGATAGCATTGGAATTCATTCACCTGCATGATCTCATTGCTGTCCTCATGGTATAGTTGCTGTAGGAACTCATCAAACATTTCAAAGGAATTTAGAGTTCTAGGTAGCTCTTGATTAGAGGCTCTGTCCAAACTTCCAACCTCTGATTTCCGGATGGATGCTCATGCTTGAAAGCTTCTTTTTTATGCCATTGTTCTCCTTGGCATGATGGTTCCTCCATTTTTCCTGTGGTGTTTGCTTCCATTAACGTATTTCTGGAGTGTGGTCAGATTCCCGTAAAACTTTGAGTTCTTACCTCCAGTTTGAAGTGATCCCAGTTTGGAGTTGCCCACCTGTTTCTCATAGAAAATTTGTAAAAGGTTTTTTTTTTTTGTGTTACATTCCCTACACTTGCACTCTGCCTTGCTGAAATTCTTTGTAAATGATTTTAATGAAATGTGCAAAACTTATGTTTTGTGTTTGTTCTTGCTGAAATGTGAGCTGTCCTAGATGCTTGTTCTTTTTAACAGCAAAACAAAAACTTCTTCATCTTGACTGCTTTCCTTTCATCAGTGATGTTGGAAACTTTCTTAGCTTTCAGAATTTGTGCCAGAGCAGATGGTGAATGGTGGGCTTTTTCTGAAGTAATGTCAGCTAAAATAACTTGTGCTGCTGGCAGTTCTTCCGTGTAACAGGGTTTTTGCTTGATTGGCACACTACCTCTTAAGAAGAACTGACTTATTTATTGAATTTTTATTGTGAAGGCATGATCTCATTATTCTGGACCTGGAATTGTTTATAGCAAGGCATTTTCCTCAGAAAGTTTTTAAAAATTCTTTTTTTTTTTTTTTCCTCATTTTAATACCTGTGGCACCTTCTGTTTGCCTGGATTGATGATGTTTTGGAAAATTAGTAAGTAAGCTAGTGGTGGTAGCTCTTGCTGCTGGTTCCCCAGCAGTTCAGGTAGCAAACTGTTCAGCATGACTTTGCAAAACCTGCAGGGCTCCCTGCAGGCTTCACTTCCAAGCATAATCCCTTGTGTAGCAGAACAACTGCTGGTTTTTATTCAGGAAAGTTTGGTGTTTGAGGTGGATCAATGTTTGGAAGAGAAGTATGTTTGTATTTCTGTACCACGTAGGGTGTGAGGTGATGCTTAAGTTGATATTCTGAAGATTCTTTCTTACTTGTGTAAATTTGACACATTTGGGGCTTTAGCCTCTCTTGCTCTTCTAAAGGTTAATGTTGGCTTGGAGGCCAGTGTCATCTGGTGGAAGCCTAGAAGGTGGCTCTCACCTTTTACATACAACACATGGAATTTTGGACTATTCATTTCTGTAACTAGGATATGTGGAATATTGAACTGCTAGTGTAGCCGAAGATGTAAAGATGAGAACAGACCAGTTAGCTGAACCTAGGGCAGGATAGGAAGAAGTTGCTTGTTCTGTGAGCACCTGATAAAGCTAAATTGTTCCAAGCTGAGGGCATCCTTTGTATTGATTGTGTGCACTTGCAAATAATAGTCTATCCATTACAGTAATAGTCATGGTGGTGCTGGTTTTATTAATCTTTGTGCTTTTATCCTTGGGTTCTCATGGCTTTAATACGAAAGAAAGAAATAGCATGAAAGGCTGGGGAGTTGTGTAGGGTGATTTCCTCTGAGATCTGAGTGCCCTGGCTGGTCAGGAGCTGTGATTCAGGATTCAGCTGAAACTTGTGTTCAAGTGAACAAGAACTGCATAGCACTACAATGGGCGCTTGTAGAAATTATTTGTTTTGCTGGAAAAATCTCCTGGTTTCAACTTGGGGTTTCTTTAAGCATTCAGGGCTGCTGAAGCTTGGGAGCTTCCTTTGTCTTTTGCTGCTAGCAATGGAATGTGTCATTGATCATCTGCACTCCTGAGCAGCCAGAGCTACTGTTGGCATCTTCCTCTGCTGTTCAGTGAACAGGCAGGTGCAAGAGCTCCTGTAGGACTGAGCTGATGGCCTTCCCAGAGAGGCTGGAGCTCCACCTGGATGAGCAGTATAGTTAGTGAGGCACTTATAACAAACTCAAAGGCAAATTTCCGTGGTGCATTCAAACTTTGTAAGCAAGAAATTCCGTGTAAGTTTTAAGTCCTTCTGAGTTGAGTGATATTTTTCCTCCAAACTGACAAAAGTAGCATCCCTCTTACCATTGTACACTGCCAGGCTTTACAGCAATCTCTGGGTAAAAGTGCTCTGAGTAAACATATGAGAATATCAATAATTAAAGTAAATGCACTACATTTCAGTTACAACAAATACATTTCATAATCCTAGTAGAAACCAAGTAATTGAAAATGAGTTCCTATGTAAACCACAGTACAAGCAGGTCTGATTTCAGAAGAACTGGAGACTTGTTCAGCACCCCTCAGGTCAACAGCATTTCCCAGTCAGTATCAGATTTGAGGAATTAATTAATCAAAGGATTTTACTGTTAGTGCCCTCAAAATCTTTTGAGTTGGGTCTAACCTCTGTAGTTGTTTTAACTGAGAGGTTGTTTAACCACCAGTGTTATCTTCAAAGGAATAGTGTGTGGTATAAACAAATGGAATTAATAAATCATGGCACTTTACAGACAGAGCCACTGGAGGGGAAGTGGTTGGGGCAGGAACAATTAACATGGTGTGTGCATGTGTTTTATATAAAAGGCTTAAGAAAATGGACATGCTTCTGTGTGAAGAGGTAAATCCACAGGATCCTATAATTGATCATGAGGAATTTGTGATTCAGTGCCAAAATTCAGAATGGCTCTTTAGAGGCATATGGTGGAATTGGATGTTGTCTCTGTGTTCAGATAAATAATACTTTGAAAAGAAATAAAAACTCCATACATCTTTAATATTAGAGATGGAAGAGAGATACCATCTTATCCACATCAGCAGTTTTCTGTGTCATGTCCTAATCTCATGAAAATGTTGGGGAACAGTGGGATTGAGAGAGGAGTCAGCAAAACAATGAACTCTTTGAAATGT